TATACACACACACAACCACCACCACCCACCACCACTATATATATATATATATATATATATATATATATATATATGTAGTAGTGAGTGGCTAACAAGGGGCGTGGCGCGTGCCCTAGCTGTCAGCGGTGTCACTTCTTATTCCTTCGCCAACATGATACGCCTACCTTGCACACATACACTGACGTTCTCGTGCAGTTGCGTGTAATGAATGGTACTGCACCCCCCACACATCTCGGGTGAATGCAACACACGTCCACTCTCCCACTCACGGGCCGTCTCTGGACCAGAGCACCTGCAACCGCCCATGCACTGAGACAAACGAAGTCTACACAACCAATACAACCTAGATTCACAGTTAGCTTTAGCCTTATCATCCAAGAACCGTACATCATATACAGTCTATACTGTATATACTGTATACTGTATAACATCATATAAAGTACTGTGCAAGTGTGTACCGTACACCACACTTACGCATTTGTAGAGTCCACTTGATCGCCCAGGCCCTTGACCTCCGCCAGATTGAGGTGGATGGTTGTGACGCGCTCGTACACAGCTGCACGGGATAGGGGATGGGACAGAGGATTAGGCAGAGTGTGTGGGAGTGTGATAGCACTTGGGTAGGTAGGTAGATGTACTCAGATCACAAGTACACACAGGTGTGAGAACATATTGGCTGGAATATAGCAGCGCGAAGGGCAGGCTATACGTTAAAACGTTCTACAAGAGGATAGGTTAGTTGGTTGATTGGTTAATAGGCCATAGGCACGTCCCCAACACCCGTGTGGGTACTGTACTGCTACTGGCAGTGACTTGTTATGGAGAGGGGTACTTGTATGGGCGTAGTGGTTTGCATTTGCAAATTAGAGATGCCCAGAACAAGATAGTAATAGGCTGCGCAGATCTACTTCCGCTATCGATTAGCTTGAGGTATCTCGCACTGGTTGTACACACACACACACAGACATATATATATATATACACACACAGACATATATATATATACACACACACATATATATACATATATACATACATATATATATACAAATATTTAAATTTACATAT